TGCCAAATTTGTTTATTAAATCTAGTAGATTTTTGATGGAGTCTTTAGGGTTTTCTATGTATAATATCATGTCATCTACAAATAATGACAGTTTCACTTCCTCCTTTCCAATTTGGATCCCTTTTATTTTTTCTTCATGTCTAATTGCTGTGGCTAAGACTTCAGCACTATATTAAATAAGAGTGGTGAAAGTGGGCATTCCTGTTTTGTTCCTGTTCTTCAGGAAAATGCTTTTAATTTTTGCCCATTGAGTATGACGTTGGCTGTAGATTTTTCATATATGGCCTTTATTATGTTGAGATATCCCTGTATTCCCACATTGCTGAGTGTTTTTATCAGAAATGGGTGCTGGATTTTGTGGAATGCTTTTTCAGCATCTATTGATACAATCATATGTTTGTTTTTTTCTTTATTAATTTTTAGAGAGAGGAAGGGAGAGGGAGAGAAAGATAGAAACATTGATGAGAGAGAACATCGATTGGCCGCCTGCTGCCTGCCCCCCACTGGGGATTTGGCCCACAGCCTGGGCATGTGCCTTGACTGGGAAATGAACCAGTGACCTCTTGGTACATGGGTCGATGCTCAGCCCCAGCCAGACTGATCATATGGTTTTTATGTTTCATTTTGTTTGTGTGGTGTATCACATTTATTGATTTGTGAATACTGTACCAGCCTTGCATCCCTGGGATGAATCCCACTTGGTCATGGTGAATAATTTTTTTAATGTATTGCTGGATCCAATTTGCTACTATTTTGTTAAGGATTTCGGCATCTATGTTCATCAGGGATATTGGTCTGTAGTTTTCTTTCTTTGTCATGTCTTTATCTGGTTTTGGAATTAAGAGTTATGCCGGCCTCATAAAATGAGTTTGGAAGTCTTCCTTCTTGAATTTTTTGGAATAGTTTGAGGAGAATGGGTATTAGTTCTTCTTTGAATGTTCAGTAAAACTCCCTCTTAAAACCCTCGGGGCCTGAGCTTTTGTTTGCTGGGAGAGTCTTGATTACATCTTCAATTTCCTTAGTTGTTATTGGTCTATTCAGGTTTTCTATCTTTTCCTGGTTCAGTTTTGGGAGACTATGTTTCTAAAAATTTGTCCATTTCACTTAGATTATCCAATTTGTTGCCATATACAGTAATTGTTTATAGTATTTGTTAACTATCCTCTGTATTTCTGTGATGTCAATTCTCTTTCGTTTCTGATTTTGTGTTTTGGGGTTCTCTCTGTTTTAGCTAAGGATCCATTGATCTTGTTTATCTTTTCAAAGAACCAGCTCTGTTTCATTGATTTTTTTGTTTGTTGTTTGTTTGTTTGTTTGTTTGTTTTGGTCTCTCTGTCATTTATTTCTGCTCTGATCTTTACTATTTCTTTCCTTCTACTTGCTCTGGGGTTTTCTTTTTGTATGCTTTCTAGTTCTTTAAGTTGTGAGGTTAAAGAGTTAATTAGAGATTTTTTTTTTGTTTCTTGAAGTAGGCCTGTAGTGCTATGAACTTCCCCCTCAGGACTGCCTTTGCTGCATCCCATAAATTTTGTGTTGTTGTGTGTTCATTTTCATTGGTTTCCAGGAAGTTTTTAATTTCTTCCATGATCTCCTTGGTAACCTATTCATTGTTTAATATGCTAATTAGTCTCTTTGTGTTCAAATGTCTTTGCTGTAATTGATTTCTAGTTTCTTGCCATTGTGATCTGAGAAGATGCTTGATATGATTTTAATCTTCTTGAACTTGTGGAGTCTTAGTTTGTGTTCTAACTACCGTCTATCTTTGAGAATGTCCCATGTGCACTTGAGAAGAATGTGAATTCTGTAGTTTTAGGATGTAATTTTCTGTAGATATCTATTATATCCATTTGATCTAGTGCATCATTTAGAGTCTCTGTTTCCTTGTTAATTTTTTGTCTAGAGGATCTATCCAGTGATGTTAGTGGGGTGTTGAAGTCCTCTGCTATGATTGTATTGCTGTCGATTTCTCCTTTGAAGTCCTCCACAAGATTTTTAATATATTTTGGTGCTCCTATATTGGGTGCATATATGTTTACCAAGGTTATATCTTCCTGTTGGATAGATCCTTTCAATATTATGTAGTAGCCTTCTTTGTCTCTAGTTATGGCCTTCATTTTGAAGTCTATTTTATCAGATAGGAGTATTGCTACCCCGGCTTTTTTCTTTCTTTCCATTTGCTTGGAAGATTTTTTTTTCATCTCTTCACTTTCAACCTATGTGAGTCTTTTGTTGTGAGGTGGGTCTCTTGTAAACAACATATATATGAGTCATGCTTTCTTATCTAATCAGCTACTCTGTGTCTTTTTTTTTTTTTTTTTTTTTTTTTTTAATCCTCACCCGAGGACATTTTTCCATTTCTTGTTCAGGTAGAGTGAGAGGGAGAGAGAGGAACAGAGAGAGAGAGAAACATCGATGTGAAAGGAACACATCGAGTGGCTGCCACTCGCACAACCGACCAGGACCGGGGACAAACTGCAACCGAGTTACGCGCCCTTAGCGGGAACCGAACCCGGGTCTCTCAGGACCACAGGCCGATGCTCTAACCGCTGAGCCAAACCGGCCAGGGCTACTCTGTGTCTTTTTATGGGAGCATTCAATCCATTTACATTTAAGGTGATTATTGATATATACTTATTTATTGCTATTTTTGTTTTTTGTGGTTATATATATATATTTTCTTTCTTCTAATTACAGCAGTCCTTTCAACATTTCTTGCAGTGCTGGTTTGGTGCTAATATATTCCCTTAGCTTTTTTTTTTTTTGGTCTGGGAAGCTCTTTATTCAGATCCTTGTTTTTCATGACCTTGGTTATTTATGCCATTTTCTTCTGGCCTGTAGTGTTTCTGTTGAGAAGTCAGCTGAGAGCCTTATGGGAGCTTCTTTTTAGGTAACCTGTTGCTTATCTTTTGCTGCCTTTAGAATTCTCTCTCTGTCTTTAATTTTTGGCATTTTAATTATTATGTGTCTTGGTGTGGGCCTGTTTGGGTTCTTCTTACTTGGGGTTCTCTATGCTTCTTGAACTTGAATACTTTTCCCCTTCACCAAGTTAGGGAAGTTTTCTGTCACTATTTCTTCAAATATATTCTCTAACCCTTGCTCATTTTCTTCTTCTTCTGGAACTCCTATGATGCGAATGTTGTTACCTTCCAGTTGCCCACAGTTCTCTTAAGCTGTCTTCCTGTTATTGAATTGTGTTTTCCTTTTGGTTTTCTGATTGGGTGATTTTTTTCTACCCTGTCTTCTAATTCACTGATCTGGTCCTCAGCTTCCTCTACTCTGCTGGTTATTTCTTCCAATTTGTTCTTTATTTCTGGTAAGTTATTCTTCATTTCCAATTGGTTGGTTTTCAATGTTTCTATCTTTACTCATGGTGTTGAGCTTCTTACTCATGGTGTTGAGCTTCCTTATTATCATCATGCTGAACTCTATCTCTGATAACTTCCTGAACTGCATTTCGTTTATCTCATCTTCAGTAGAGTTCTCTTGTTCTTTCATTTGGGATTTGTTTATTTGTTTTGCCATTTTGGCTACCTCAGTGGGTTTTGGGGCCTGCCAAATTTTCCCTGTGGGTGTTGGTGTTCTGTTTGTGGCTCCTTCTACTGGGTTTGGATGAGTGTGGGAGGACCCATGTCAAGTCTTACTTTCCTGGGTAGATTTGCAAGCCCAGGAAAAGTTCAGTTATCCTCTAGCTTTTTGCCTGGAGGCTATTAGTCTCAGTTAATTGATGAGCCTTGGGTTGTAACCCTCAACTCAGTGGGGAAAAAAAATCCCTCAGGTGTTCAGAGTAAGAGGATTTCCAGAGGATGGGGAAGATGCTGGCTGTTAATAAGCCTCAATTTGCATTTCTCTGGCCCAGCTGGGTGGTGTTAAATTTCTGAGGGAGGGGCTGCTGCTTCTCCCCAGGGCTCTGGGAAGACGGTCTTTGAGTAAGATGGCTACTGTCCTGTGAGGGAATGATTCAGGAAAAACCTTCCAGTGGCCTCCAAATTCCAAGTCTCTCCATGCAGTTTCAGACCAGTCTGTCCTCCCTCTCCCAGAGCCCAATGTGAGTGGCTGTAGCTAATTTAGTGCTCTGTTCCAGCCCTCTGTGCTGGGGAGCTGGCTTGGTATTTTAACCCCGAGGGAGCTGCTTACAGCTAAAATAGCTGCTGTCTGTGGGCTCCCAGCCTGCCCTCTGCCCTCTGCAGATCCTACCAGGCTCGATTCAGTGTCCTTTTTTCCTGTCCCTGGTTGTATGGGTCCTCTCCAGCTGCTTTTCTGTTGCTTTTTCCCCAATGATTTGTCTTTATTTTAATTGTAATTCCAGTTTGGTCCTGGTAGATGGTCTGTGTAGCTTTCATTCACTCTGCTGCCACATTGTCAAGATTTCACTTCTATCTATTTTCTCTTTGTTCATTTTTTTTTTTTTTTAATTCCTCACCTGAGGATATTTTTCTACTTATTATCAGGTAGAGTGGGAGGGAGAGAGAAAGACAGAAACATTGATGTGATAGAGCCACATGGACTGGTTGCCTCCCACATGACCTGACCAGGGCCAGGGACGAACCGCAACCGAGGTACGTGCCCTTGACTGGAATCAAACCTGCAACTCATTGGTCCGCGGGCTGATGCTCTAACCGCTGAGCCAAACCGGCCAGGACTCTTTGCTCATTTTTAAATTGGATTATTTGTTCTTTCATCAATCCAAAATTTAAAAGTTGTGTATGACTTTTTGTTTTTTATAGTTGGGATCAAAATAGAAGCTAATTTTATATCTGGCTTTCCTTTTTGCTGAACATATAATATTAGTTTTTTCTGTGCCATTAAAGAATCTTTTAAAACATAGGAGGGCATCTTATGAAATCACTGGTGAGGGTCCTTTCACTTCTGCCTTCCTGGGTTCCCCAAGCCCCACCTGAGCAGTAGGGTGGGAGCAGATGCTGGCCAGGGTTGGCCCTGCCTCAAGCCCACTCCTCTTCTTTGTCCCTCTGCATCTCATCTCGCTGCCCGGCTCCCTGCAGAGGTCCCAAGCATGCAGGTCGTGCACACCAGTCTCGGGGCCCCCTGGATGTCTTTGGGCCCTCGGGAGGCCCCTGCCTCAGGTGAGAAGCTTGGTGGAAGCCCCCAACCCAGGGCCCTGGAGATGGAGGTTGCAGGCAGGGGTGAGTGGCTAGGGAGGGGTGGAGAGAAGTCGGTCTGATGTAGACACATAAGGTGAGGAACCAGGTGAGCACATCATTTGTCTTGTGCTTCCTCCTCTTTCTAGATTCCAGAGACCAGTGGGCACCCCAGGAGCAACCCTCAGCCCGGGGTAACCCCAGAGGAGACCAGGGCCCCCACCTGCCAGCCCCAGGCCCAGTCTCTTCTCTGCAGCAGTCCCCAAGCCAGCAGGCCCTGTGGTCTGGCTCAGGGCCCCAGGACTGCAGACACAGCCTCTATGGGTGCTGCCCCGATGGCCACACGGCATCTCTTGGGCCGCAGTGGCAAGGCTGCCCTGGGGCCTCTTGCCAGCAGAGCAGGTAAGTGCCTCTCCCTCCTCACCAGGTCAGAGAGGGAAGGTGTATGTCAGGCGGGGTGGGGCGGGTTTGCCGAGCTCAGGAATGGGACCAGAGGTGCTGCCTGCAGCTGCCCTGGCTGCTCCCGCTGCTGGGCTTCCTCACGCTCAGTGGGGTGAAAGGCCTGTTTTCCCCGCAGCGACAGCCTGAGGCTCTGGGAGGGCACACCGGGTAGGAGTTCTGCTCTCAATCCAAACCAGGCTCCCACTCCTTCAAGGTCCAGGGTACTAAGTGGCCAGACTTGGGCGCCAGTGGCCTGGGGGTGATCCCCAGCTCAGCCACTTACTAGCTGTGCACTGGGTGACTTGGGCAAGTTACTTAACCTCTCTGATGTTGGCTTCCTCTGCTGAGAATTGGAGCAGTGCCAGCCATTGGCTGGGTGACTGAGGACAAAACGGATCCCATGGCGCCTGGCATGTAGAGGTGCTCTGATGGTTGTTCCTTTCTCCTTCCTTCCCGAGTCCTGGCTGGGGGGTGAAATAAGTGCTGGCTTCTTGACATTCCTCTGACCCCACCTCCCACCTGTTGCTGTTTTGTAGAAACTCCCCGGGAAACTGCAAGCAGGCTCAGATTCCCCCCCCCCCCCGCCCCACCTTGGTTTTGTGGTAGGATGTGTGGTTGAGGATTTGCCAGTTATAAGGGTTGCAATTCTGCTTATTGTGTTCCTGTTACCCTCCCTGCTGGCCGCTAAGTGGTTGGTAGACAGGGAGTGTCGGGGTTTGTGAGATGGAACGCCTTGTATGCAGGGTCACATGGTCTCCTGTTTGGACCCTAGCCCGGTCAGCCCCCTGCACAGGGAGCCTCAGAGCAGGGGTGCAGGGGTGCTGGGGTGCTGGAAGCTAAGGATCCCTGGAGGGGACTAGGTGGTAAGGGGAGGGCTGTGTGGTCTCTGACTAGGTACGGGTGTTGCCCCGATGGGGTGTCTGTGGCTGAGGGGCCCCATCAAGCCGGCTGCGCGAGGTCTTACAGCGGGGACAACGTGGGGAGCAGGCCAGGTTCGCGAGCAGTGGCCTCCACGGTGAGTGTCTTGTTCATGTGATGGGGCAGGAGTCCAGCCTGGGAACCTGCTCCCTGCCACCCTGCAGGTCCCTGAAGCCTGCTGGCCTGGGCCGTCCTCTCGAGGACACAAAGCTTCAGAGATGGTTTGGGGCTGGGGTTTCATCCGACATTCTGGCCTCTGACTCCCCCTGGGGCTGAGGGTCTGCACTGGGGGCTCACAGTTCTGTCTCTCCCTCTGCCATCCTCGCCCAGGCACCCTGGGGTCCCCACCAGGAGCCTGACCTATTCCCAACTTTCTCCCCAGGCCCCCAAGGCCCACCAGCCCCAGGCCCAGCAAAATGAGCCCAGTGAGTGCCGGGGCTCCCAGTTTGGCTGTTGCTATGACAACGTGGCCTCTGCAGCAGGCCCTTTTGGGGAAGGCTGTGTAGGCCAGCCCAGCTATGGTGAGTGGATGCCCTCCCTCGGCCTGGTGGGGAGGCTCTGGTCCCACTGTGCCCCTCCCCCACTCAGAGCCAAAGACCGTCCTAGGCTCAGTTCATTCATTTCTTCCACAAGTGCGTACTGACCACTTACCAGGAACCAGGCCAGATAACAGCCAGACTGTTCTCATTTCAAACATTTGCTCTGGAGGCCGCCTGGCTGCTCCAGGGGTTGGGAGAGTTGTAGGTGGAGACCCCACAGAGAAGGAAGGTTTGTCCTTCTCCCTGAGGGCTCAGGCCCCTTCGGAGGCAGAGATGGTGTAGAGAGGTCTGTGCCAGGATGGATGGGATGTCCCCCCCCGCCTGGCGGAGTCCTGAAGGGAGGTTACTGAGGCTGGAGCATGGGGTGCATGGATGGAGCTTCTGGGGACCAATATGGTGACGTTGAAAGCCAGGCAGGCTGGTGGTCAGGGTCTGTAGGAGGCTTTAAGCAAGGGCCAGCCAGGGTCGCCTCTGAATGTGGAGAGGTGGAGCAGGCTGTGCTGCGGAGGAAGGTGCTAGAATGCGCAGGTTAGGGCTGCAGGTATGTTCAGAGGTTGGCAAAGCGACCGGGGAACATGGTGAGCATCACTGGGCATCTTCACAGGCCCCTGGGAGCTAAGGGCTGGGTCCTTGTCCTGCTGAGCATGTCAAGGTGAGGCCCTTGGGTTGCTCTGGGTGTGCACTCCAGGGTCTGGCTGGGGAGGGGCAGGAGGGGAACCAGTCCAGGGATCTCAGCCCTGGCCTGGAGGGCTCTAGTTCTGTGGGTGGAGGTGATGGGCTGATTCCAGAGGCTGCTGTGGTCCCTGGACAGGTCTAGGCAGTGAACAGATTCTGCCCCCAGGGCCAGGTCAGGGCCCGGGCAGGGGTGTAGGCTGCTCCATAAACTGGGCGGGGCTCCTGTCTCAGGGGGTGGGGCGTACTTCTTGGCAGGGCTCTGCTGGGCATTATTTTTGGCCACCCAGATAACATGCATCCTTCCTGCCCTCAGCATACCCCGTGGGGTGCCTGCTGCCCAGTGCTCTGGGCTCCTGTACAGACTGGGCCACCCGCTGGTACTTCATCCCCTCTGTGGGCCGGTGTAACCGCTTCTGGTATGGAGGCTGCCACGGCAATGCCAACAACTTTGCCTCGGAGGACGAGTGCATGAGCAGCTGCCGGGGGTCTCGACATGCACCCCGCCAACCGGCGCCTGGGGCCGCTGGCCAGAGCACCCACAGCAGTGGAGGTGGCCACAGTCCTGGAAGCCAGCAGGAGGCCGGCCGGCACAGGACCGAGGCCACGGTCCAGAGAAAGCCCGGGCTGGAGGCGCACCACACCCCGGCCTTAGGAGAACGGCCCCGGGGCCAGGAGCTGGGGCGCAGCACCCCTGGACTAGGCGGAGATGCTGGGTGGCCAGCACCACCCTCCCACAGCTCCTCCTACAGGTGCGCCTCACCTTTCCCAGGTAGGGGGCGAGGGACCAGGCTAGGAGCTGAGCCTGTCTGAGCGAAAACCCTGAGTTCAGCCAGCCCTCCCACCCCACCCCTTGCCTGGGACCCTCTAAACAGCTCTGCCTGGGGGCTTCGTCACCTGGGGCAGCTCAGGCTTCGGAGGTCAGGCAGCCAGGACGTGGCGGTGCCTGGATTCACCCGCAGATCTTGCCATTGACCCCAGGGTCTGTCTGGTTAGAAAAGCTTCTGGGCTTCATGACTTGGCAAGTCCACCAACTTCTTTCTTGGCCTGTAAAATGGTGATATCATCTCCTAGGGTTAGGGTTCCATTTGCTATTCCTCCTGGAATTGTGTCATATTAATGAGAGATTTGGGAAGATTAAAAACAAAATAAAACAGGAGGGTGGTTGGCCCCCACCTGGATCGCGTGTGCTGCCCCCCGCCCCAGGCTCGGTGCCGAGCAGGTGGAGGTGGCACTGCCTTGGGCATGGTGGGGAATTCGGGTTCCTAAGTCCACTGGCTTCTGGAGCTTGGCCTCCCACGAGTGCCTGTGACAGGATGGGGCACACTGGTGAAGGGGTGGTCCCTGGTCAGGGTGCATGTGCCAGTCATGCTGGCCCTCACCTCCCACTTTTCCAGGATTAACTTGGCAGGCTCGGAGCCCTCTCTGGTGCAGGTGGCCCTGGGACAGGTCGTGCGGCTCTTCTGCCCAGAGGACGCCTCCATGGACCTGCACACCAGGTGGCAGAAAGACGGGCAGCCCCTCTCCTCTGCCAGGTGTGTGCAGGGGGCCTCCCCCAGTGGCAGGCCCGCTGATTTCCCTGGGGTGGAGGGTGAGTGTGAGGCTGTGGCCCCCTCTGGTTGGAGCACTGGGTCCCAAGGGGGTCTCATTGTCCTCAGGAGCCCAGAACTAAGCCCCCATCCCCACTCACCCAGGCACAGGCTGCAGCCCGATGGCTCCCTGGTCATCAGCCCCCTGCGGGCAGAGGACGCTGGCACCTACAGCTGTGGCACCAGGCCAGGCCGTGACTCTCCGAAGGTCCAGCTTCGCATCGCAGGTCTCAAGGGCCCCATGGTGGGAGGGACTGGCTGAGCGGGCCTAAGCCGGGTCACCCCAGGGATGTCCTTGGGCCCAGGCATGCTGGTGGCAGGGACCGTGGATTCCAGTTGGGCTGAGGTGGAGGTCTTGTTCCTCATGACCCTCATTTCCTCACATCCCCCACTCCCGGCCTCATGGCCCCCCCTTCCTTCCACCCGCTTCTTCCCACAGCTCACCCCTTGCTTCTCCTGGCCTCCTGACAGGGGGTGACACGGCTGTGCTGGCCGAGGCTGAGCCAGGGCACTTCCCTCAGACCAGGGACCCGGCCCAGGGCCACAGCCCTGGGGACTCCAGCCGCGGGCGGGATGCCGAGGGCCTGGGCGCCATCTCCTCCTCTCATCCACGGCCCGCAATCAGGTAACAGAGCAGCAGTGTCTCCCCCACCCGGGGCCAGGGCCCAAGGAGGTCTCAGTGGGTGAATGGGTCCCCAGGCCAGTATGTGCTGAGACCAGGCTTGCTGGCCCGTTCAGGGCTCTGGAGGTGAGAACTAGAAAAACATGAATCCCTGAGCTCAGCCTCTGGAGGAAGGGGAGCCTTCCTCCACCCCAAGTCAGCGGAGACAGCTTTGCAGAGGGATGCAGAGGGGCGAAGGGAACCCAGGTCAACAACCTGGAGTCAGACATGTAGGGTGGGAGCAGCCAGTCTGAGCTTGGGGGGGGGGGATGCTGAGAAAGCAGGTGCTGTAACTCTGCCCCCCCCCCATAGTTACTCATGGGTCCTTCCCCGAACGGAGGGGTGGTTTTAGGAAGCTAAGTCTGGGGGGAGGAGAGGGGCCCATGGGCATGTGCAGAGGCCCCGCCCCCAGGCAGGGTTGGGGACGGGGAGGCAGTGGCCGGGAGCCCTCAGGGCCCTGGGGTGCTTGTTCTTCAGGCTGCGCCTGGACCAGAACCAGCCTGGGGTGGTGGATGCCCGTCCTGGGCAGCGGATCCGGTTGACCTGTCGCGCCGAGGGCTTCCCACCCCCAGCCATTGAATGGCAGAGAGATGGGCAGACCCTGTCCTCCCCCAGGTTTGTTCGGCTCCTCCCCCTTCCTGTGCAGGCCTCGGGAAGGAGCTGCTGGGAGCCTTTCCAGGGTGTGGGCAGGGGACAGACTCAGGCCCGGCTGCAATGATAAGCTCACATCATTGCCCCAGTGAGTGAGGCGTGTCCTCACCACCATCTGCAGAAGAGCCGTGTTGAGGCAGGTGTGTTCTCTCCCCATTTCACACAGACGCTTCACACCACACGGCTCCTAAGTGGCAGGACCCGGATCTGAGCCTACTAAGTTATAGCAGGAACTAGAAACCCACTTCACTTTGTATGAGGAATCTTGAAATGATTTATTGCCAGGGTTAGCAGTCAGGAACCTTCGAGTCAGTGAGTGCTGGCAGCTGGAGGCCACTGGGGAGACCCCACTCTCATCGGGGAAAGACCCTGTCCCCCCCTCCCACCCCCACCGTGGGATGGAGCCCCCTGACTCTCTTTGGTCCCCAGACACCAGCAGCAGCCCGATGGCTCTCTGGTCATCAGCCAAGTCGCTGTGGAAGATGGCGGCTTCTATGCCTGTGTTGCCTTCAATGGGCAGGACCGCGACCAGCGATGGGTCCAGCTCAGAGTTCTAGGTAAGGTACAGTCCTGAACGGAAGGGCGACAGTGCCAGGTCAGGTGGCACAGGTTGGGCAGGATCCGCATCATGACTAACAGTGCCTCCTCCTCGGGCCCAGGGGAGCTGACCATCACAGGGCTGCCCTCCACTGTCACGGTGCCGGAAGGTGACACGGCCAGGCTGCGCTGTGTGGTGGCGGGAGAAGGTGTGAACATCAGATGGTCCAGGTAAGGCTCTGTTCCAGGGCCTGGCCCTCAGACCCACCCCCGAGGCGGTACAGCCTGAGCACAGGTGGCCCCCTTTCTGCAGGGACGTTGCTGTCACCGCTGTCCTCACCCCACCTTCTTCCACTCCTGCCTCCGGGCCTGGCGCCTACATAGTGAGGCCCCGGAGGGATGCTCCCTTCTCCGTTGGCTGGGCCATCCCAGGGTTTCTCAACCACGGCACTGATGCCAATTTGGACCCGATAAGTTTTGGTTGTTGGGACTGTCCTGTGCAATGCAGTATGTTTTGTGGCATCCAGGCCATCAACCCACAATGTGACTATCACCCCCTCACAAGTCATGACAATAAAAAATGTCTCCAGATGGTATCAAATATCCCCTCGGTGGAAAATCTTCCCTGGGCTTGAGAACCACTGGGCTACACTCAGCTTGGGGGACTTCAGGGGCCTTTGTGGGAATCAGTTGGTCTGATTCATTCATTCAGCACACTTTTTGTCATCTTCCTCCATGCAGTTCACCAGGAGTAGGCTAGGCTCTGGGGATCCCGGGCTGACCTGAGCCCCCCAGATAGTGGGCAGGACGTGGCCCAGTGCCCCTCAGCTCCAGAGAGTTGCCCTAAGTGCTGTCTGTGAACTGAGGAGTGAGGCTGCCTCCCATCTGGGAGCATCAAGGAAGAGGTGGCCATGGAGGCGACTTTGTCTGCACCTTGAAGGCTGAGGGGGGAGGGATGTTCTTGATCAAGTGAGGTGATGCCAGGATGGGACTGGCCCTGTATCTTCACTTTGCCTCCCTTGGCTCTTCCCAGCTGCAAACATGCTCAGGACCCCTCTTCAAAACTGACCCTGTGTCTCCCTGCAGCGGCCTTCAGTCGGCCTCCTCGTCACAGCACTGCTCTCTATAGCATCCACTGTCCACCCCACTCCTGTCCACCCCTGCTGCAGGGAGATGAACTGGCCAAGGCCTCCTAAATCCTTTGGACACCTCCCACTCCCCACACGGCCTGTGTCCTTCAGTGACCTCGAGCCTCCTGAGATCTGCCTCCCCTTGGCTCCAGGTGACGACCGTCTTCGGGTGTCCTTCCTGCTTCTCTTCCCAGCTGGCTCATCTCTTCATACCTGTTGCTTAGGAGCCAGTAGCTCAGGGTCTTGCCTTGGTCCTCGGTCCCTGACCTTGGGCAAACATGCAGACACATGGTTTCTGGGACTATCCAGTAGGTGATACACGATCTCAAACCTGATCCCCTTGGTATCTCACAGGCACCCAAAATGCAAAATGGTGGAAAATAACCTCACCATTCACCCCCAGCACTGCCCTGGGCTCCCCGTGGTGGAGGGGCACCACCATTACCCAGTAACCCAAGCTAGAAACCTGTTGGTAGTTTCTCCCCCACCTCCCGCAGTCCCTTTATCACCTGTGTCATCCACCTGTGTGCACCAGCCACTTACCTGGTCTCTGCTCTCGGGCATATCCTCCATCCCCCACTGCCCTCGGCAATCCTTTCAAAGTCCGAGTACCACGTCAGTCCTGCTAGCCCCAGGACCCAGCCCAAACCCCTGACCACGTGCGCTTCCTTTCTCCCTCCCTCTCGTTCCGGCCACGGCCTGCCTTCAAGCTCCTGGGTCCCCGTGTTCCCAGCTGCAGCCTCCGCCGCCTCAGGTCAGGTCTCGGCTAGCCATCCTTCTCAGGGAAGTCTCCCCCAAACACCTGCACCCCACCCCACTGCCCTGGAGGCAGGGAGTGCTCAGGATTATCCAGCACAGGGCCTGGCGCCTCGTGGCTGCTTCCGTGTCCTTTGCTAATGGAGAGGGTGCGGCCCCTGCTGGAAAAGGCACAGTTATGGCCCCTCAGCGCAGTGTGCTCGGTTGGTGGGAGCCTGTCACCTTTGAGCTACTTTGCTTTGACAACGTCCTCCCATTTGGGTGCTCTGGAATGGTCTTTGATCACCTCCTCCCTCTGCCTCTTGCCCGCTGGGGCCCTGGGTGCAGCACTGCAGGGTCCTAGGGCCTGAAGACCAGAGGCCCTGGACAGCGCGTGTCCTCTCCCCTCCAGGAACGGGCTGCCGATACGAGCCGATGGCCACCGTGTCCACCAGTCCCCAGATGGCACTTTGCTGATCCACAACCTGCGGGCCGGGGACCAGGGCTCCTACACGTGCAGCACCTACCACGGAAGCCAGGCGGTCAGCCGCAGCACTGAGGTGAAGGTGGGCCCGCCAGGTAAGCAGGGCCCGCTTGTCCCCAGAGCTGCCTGTGCGCAGAGCGCAGGCCCTGTGGTCCCAGGGACTCGGGTCCAAATCCCGGCTCACTCTGCCACTTACTGGTACTGAGACGCAGGGCCTACCCTTCCTGAGCCCTTGCTCATCTGCACAGCGGGCTGCCCCGCCTCTGACATGGTTACAGTGAGGGTGGAGGAAAGTGCAGGGCAGGCAGCTGGTAACAGCCTCACAGATGATGCAAAACTTTTTTTTTTTTAGATTTGTTTTATTTTCAGAAATATGACTGAGTGGAACTTCATAATACTTAAGGCAAACAGACCATTAAAATCTGTCCATTCTATTTAGGGTGGCAAAACATGGTCCTACGAATGAAAAGTGCCCTTTGACCATATAACTCAGAAAGGGACGGTCAGGGATTCGCGTCGCCATCTTACAAACGAGATATCTGGAGAGCTCAAGTGATGTTTCTACAAGTCACACGACAAATTTGTGGCCAAGTTGCTGCTAGAACCTAGGTCTTTCGACTCTTCGTATTTATGTTCTTTTCACTAAACTTACACCTGTAAATGGGAAGGAGTTTAATTGCATTACTCAGTAATTTGACATTTCAGCCTTATATTCTCCAGCTCTTGCTGAGTTATCAAATTTCAACAAATCTAAATACCATGTTGTAAGATGCATTATTTTCCCACCACTGGGGATAAAAGGTTGTCAATTCAGTGCCAAGACACCATCAATTAATATGTAGTCCAATTTGACAGATGTATATATGAAAATGAGTGCATCTCAGAGTTGATGAAACACACTGTGGTTTAATGTTCAAACTCACAAGAGCTCCATGTCCAAATAAGCCAGAGGGAAGGCGTTCTGCCCTGCGCCCGGCCTGCCCTCCATGTACCCTCGGTCTGGGCTCACTGACCCGCAGGGCCACGTCCGGGGTGGAAGCAGACCTGAGCCCTGCCTGTAGCATTGTACCAGGGACACTGTTTCACTTGGGGTGTGGCCTGGTTGCCACAATGAGGGTGAGAACCGGTCAGTGCTAGAGGTTGAAGGTCTGTGGTAGGAATGTTGCTTAGTGAGTTGGACTGACACCCCAGGCTTCCTTAGAATAGTGACCAGGACTTGCGTCCCCAGGGCCCAGCCCAGTGCTTGGCATCACTAGGTGCTAAGATACATGATGACAGCCCCCTACTGCAGGGAGTACTTTTTACCTCTGATGATGCCCAGCAAACTGATCTCTTGTTTATATAATAACCAAACTTACAAGACTTGAGACAAACCAGAATGCAGATTTATTTGAGAAAGAGAGCTGCTTGGAGGACTGATGGTCGTGTTTGTGAGTAGCTGTAGACATGTCTATATGGGAACCAACTTACAATCAGAAACCTGCTCGACAAAGGTGGATGGGGGTTCTTGATGACGTGTGGTCACCACACTGAAATGGTCTGCTGTGACCTGTCTCTCGGAAACAGCACTTATGGCTTCAGTCGCTGTTTCTCCCACCTGTGCTGGACTAGAGTGTTGGGGCATCTTCTTACTAGGAGTGGTCTCCCTCCTAACTGTATTCATTCCAGTGATTAGGCTGCAGATACCTGCTCTCAATCTTTTTTTTTGTGAGGGTCTCCCGCTGCCCTAGTCATGGTTTGGTGGCATAGTGGAATTAGTGTCAGCGTCAGGGCAGGGGTGGCACAGAGTAAGGGACATACTTCTATGTGAGGATTTCTCATCCTTTTCGCCTAAAAGATTGGTTAGAAACAAAATGCTATAGGGATAAAACTGGTGGGTAGGGGGAGTGTCACTCAATTTTTTAAATGAGAAGGAATGAGTCTGTGGGACAAAATATAATTAAACACTCAACTTTACCTATGGCTACTATGTGCCTAAAGGGCTATCATCATCTCCACTTCACAGAGAGCTTAAGGTCCTGCCCAAAGCCAGCCCGCTGGTAAGTGGGCGCGCCCAGGCCGTCTGGCGCCGGAGCTGGCGTGCTTAACCACGATGCTGGGCCCTGTGAGAGGCCCAAGGGCTGCAACAGCTGACATCAAGTTGATAGGAAAGGTACTTAGTTTTTAACTGAGCATAAATGGCTTGCTACTCATGTAAGTGTAGGTAGTTAGCACTCTGGTAATACTGACATACCAGACTTCTCTAGTCCGTCTTGGCTGTACTTTGGAAGGGAGCATGGAGGAGAGGGGATAAGCCTTCCCTAGGCCCAGGTCTGAATTAAGGGAAGGTACCAGGAAGGCCTAAGCCAAGTGGGGAGTAAGAGCCCCTCCCAGAAAGAAAAGGGAAGTTAAGCAGATGGGCCCCTTCAGCGCTAGGGTGAAGCAGCTGAATGAAAGTCTCACCGGGCTTTTAGATACAGAAGCTCCTAGGAAGTGCTGAGGACAGGACCTGTGCTCAGTACAGTATTAAGAGCTGTCGCTCACAGGCTGTTTTCCCATCACCTTGCCTAATGGGCACTGCTGTCTCAGGCGGGGTACTAAGTGCCTAAATGAGCTGGGACTATTGGAGGCACAAAGCTTTTGAGGTCGGAGGAAACCAGCAGTGAGTGGACAGAATGGCACCTGCCGACTTCAAGAGATGTATAATCGTCTAGTCAGTCAGTATTTGGGAGTCTGCGCTGCATGACAGGAGGACCACTGCACGCTCAAGTGTGGCTGACAATGGGTGGAAGTCGACTTCCGGCCAAGGTGGGAGAGTAGTAAACGCTGTGCTCATCTCCTTCCACGACCACATTATACCTGAATTATGCCCTGACTGGTGTCGCTCAGTGGTTAGACTGTTGGGTTCAATTCCCAGTCAAGAGCATATACCTGGGTTGCAGGTCTGATCCCCGGCCCGGGTCGTGTGGGAGGCAACCAATTGATGTCTGGCTCTCCTCCCCTCCCACTGTATCTAGAAATCAATGGAAAAGTATCCTCGGTGAGGATTAAAAAAAAAAATTATACCTAAATTATAGAACCACCTGAAGACTAGCTGAACAGAAGTCCTATAACTAAGGATATACAGAAGCCATGAGGAAACTGGTAGGAGGGGCAGGTCCCCCCTGAGGAGTGAGGGGACCCAGCCCAAGGCACTAGTGTCGGGAAGAGTCCCCATAACGACGTCTGGCTGTGGAAACCAGCAGGGGTTGTGTCCAAGGGAGATGGAGGGCTGCTAGAGTCCCAGGTGTCCCCTTGAAGGGCCCACGCACGAACTGATTTGTTCACAGACTCATCCATTCTGGGCTCCAGTGCTGGGGGCAGCAGTTTGAAGAGCACCGGGGACATACAGGGAGGAAGTGAACTGACAAGCAGCCATCTCTGGGCAAGAACCAGTGCTCCTTTGTTAAGCCCTCCCTGTACCCAGCCGGCAGGAGTACCAATCTGAGCTCTCCATTAACCTGGCTAACACTGTCTGCCCCACCCCACCCAGCTCATAGCCAGCCTGAGCCACTCCCAGTGACTTTTCCACAAAAGCAGCTAGCAGTGGTGTGCCCTGCACCTCTTGCTAAGTGACCCCAATCTTGGTACAAGAGGTGACTGGTCTCACCTTACATCATAACTCCCATTAGGTGGCCCGAATCCTAGCATAAATTGCAGCCTGTGGTGGCCTGGAATTAGCTTCAACTAAGTAGCCATAAATATGGCGCTAGTAGCAGCTGGCCTCAGTTCTCAGCTTAGCCTCTCCTGGGTGCCACCTCTAAGCCCAGCACTAGCAGCAACCAGCTGCAAATCATGTTTTTTTTTTCAATCCTCACCCAAGGATATTTTTCCCATATATCTTCAAATAGAGTGGGAGGGACGAGGAGAGAGAGGCAGAAACATCGATGTGAGAGGGACACATCTACTGGTTGCCTCCCGCATGACCAGGGCTGGGGACTGAACCGCAACTGAGGCAATATGCCCTTGATGGGAATCAAACCTGCGACTCTTTGGTCCAGGGGCTGATGCTCTAACCGCTGAGCAAAACTGGCCAGGGCCACAAATCATTTTGTAGCTAGCTCCCATTAGGCAGTCCCAAGCTGGCACAAATGGTGGCTGACCACGGCCTGCACTAGAACCCTTCTCAAGAGTCTCCAGAACCAACACACCCAGTGGCCAGCTTTAAACCACACCAGAGCACCACCCAATCAGTTCCACAAATGAAACACTGGATGGGCAAACTTGGCTGGCACCAGAGCTCCGCTAAAGCAGCTCCGTGGGGTCAGCCCCTACAGCTTGTCTGCTGTAGTAATGGCCAGTCCTCACAGCCAGTCCGCCTGAGGGTCAGTCCCACCCACTGACGTGCCAACAGCAACCAAGGCTCAACTACAACAGGAGGGTACACACGTCCCACACAAGAGACACTTCTGGAGTACCCAGCTCAGATGAAGTTCTCCACTGGTCCTCACCTGCTACATAAGGGCACTCTGCCAATACTGGGAGACATAGCAGACCTACTTAGAAACAAACACAGGGAGGCTGCCAAAACTCCAGAAAAAGAACTAAATGAAATGGGTACAAGCAATCCACCAGATGGAGTTCAAAACACTGGTTATAAGGATGCTTAGTGAGCTCAGGGGAAGAATAGATGAACCCAGCGAGAACCTCAACAAAGAGATGGAAATCCGAAAAAGGAACCAGTCAAAAATGAAGAATACAGTAACTGAAATGAAGACTACATTGGGGGAATCAACAGCAGATTAGATGAAACAGGATCCAATCTGGAGAACAAGGTAGTGAAAAACCAAGAAAAAGAAGGAAAAAAATGAGGATCATTTAAGGGACCTTTGGGATAAACCAACATTTGCAATCATAGGGGTATCAGAAAGAGAAGAGAGCGAGGAATTGCAAACCTATTTGAAGAAATAATGACAGAAAACTTCCCTAACCTGGCAAAAGAAATAGATATATAAGCGCAGAGAGTCCCAAACAAGATGAACCGAAAGAGGCCCACACCAAGACACATAATTAAAATGCCAAAGGTTCAAGACAAAGAGAATATTAAAAGCAGCAAGAGAAAAGCCATTAGTTTTCT